GTAAAATCGCCGCGTGCGAATGCCCTATAACGCAACTATGATTGGACGGCAAGTGTGCAGATAGCCTAACAATGAAGTAAAATTTTCTTTGATGTATGTATGTACATGAACAAAAGACATAAGATCACGCCTTAAGGAAAGAAAGAAAAAAGTTATTTTCTACCTTTCGAAATCTCGACGCCATCTTTGTTGTAAGAAGTAAACAACGAAGAGAACAAAAAAAAACCGCGTAATTGTTGATCGCATGAATAATCATTTTGATTATGCAAATTCTTCTATAAATCATGTCGTTGTGTTAAATTATTCTTTACCTTATGTGTCACAAGCGAAAATTAAAAAAATTGCAGTAAAAAGCCACCACCAAATTGTAAACAACGAACAAATGTAAATAAACGGCTAATGTCAAAGTCGCCCATCTTTTTTCCTAAATGCGATTATAACGGGCTACTAAGAAGGCGTGATCTGGTATTTTTGGTTCATGTGTATGCAAGGCGAATTTATACAAGGTGGTGTCACTGGCGAATTTAGATTACAACAACGACAACCACATGTATTTTGTATGGAGGGTGTTATGTCAAATCTCAATTCGCTCCAAATACCATGTTCTGACCGACATCGAAAACATGTTTTCGTTGCTAAAACTGGTTTTCGACTTAAAACTTATGTTTTCGTCCATGTAAAATCTGTCAAACGAAAACCAGTTTTCGCTGAAAACTACTTGAAAACTCAAGTTCCACTGTTGTTGTTGTAGCGGCTACAACAACCCCGCCCAGATCGGTTGGTATCTCAGTCGTTGTCGTCAAGTTCCACTAACGGCAACCCTAGGAAGCGTGCAGCTTCTGTGGGGTTTGTCCACAGGGACAAGGCCGTTAGGGTTGTCGGGTATTCCGGGCATGCGAAGAGATGTTTCGAGTCATGTGGGGTCTCTCCGCATGCCGGACACTCATTCGGCACATCCTCATTCAACCTACTCAAGTAGGAGTTCAACCTGCTGCAGTAGCCGGAGCGAAGTTGTGCGAGTGTAGTGCGTGTCTCCCGAGGCAGATGAAGCTCCGTCTCGTCTATGTCCGGTGGTGGTATGCCTAGAACGGCATTCACAGGTCTAGAGTCTAAATAACTCGAGACTGAGTCCCTGTGAATGCCGTTCAGAGCCTGTCTGTAAGCTGTCGGGTCCAGAGGTTGCTTAATGAACCTCTGGACTTCGTCCGTCAGTTCATATAGATGCCTCCTGACGTGCCTAGGCGAGGGCTCCTCTGCAAGCAGCTGTCTGCTTGGGTGGCCACTTCTGTGGCTCCCGATCAGGAACTGCTTGCAGAGCATTATATTATGCTCCTTTACCCGGAGCATTTGCGCCTCGCCGTGCAGGTGGTGTTCAGGCGACATCAAGAGGCATCCCGTCGCTGTCCTAAGTGCCGTATTTTGTACCGTCTATAGCTTCGTCCACTGCGTCCTACTAGTCCCTGGCGACCACACTGGCGCTGCGTAGTTCAAAACCGGCCGGCCTATTGCCTTGTATGTTGCCAGCAACGTTTCTTTGTCTTTGCCCCAAGTACTGCCGGCTAGCGACTTGAGGACCTTGTTGCGGCTCTGTACTTTATTGACAATAGCGGTTGAGTGCGCAGAGAAGGAGAGCAGGCTGTCGAATGTTACTCCGAGTATTTTGGGGCTATTCACCGTCGGAATTGGTGTGTCATCGACGTGAATCCCCAGCGGTAGCCTGACCTCCTTCGTCCAGGTTGTGAACAGGGTCGCGGAGGATTTCGTAGGGGAGAGGGCTAGACACTTTGCAGTGAAGAAGCGAGAAAGTTCGGAGAGATAGCCGTTTACTTTCGAACACAGGTCATCAATTCCATTCCCAGTCGCCATGACTCCCTCTGGTGGTTGAGGGAGCTTCGAAATGTAAAAGTTAAACAGTAGCGGGGAAAGGACACCACCCTAAGGAACCCCCGGTTTTATTTTTCGCTGCTTACTCGTTTTGTCTCTAAATATTACCGACGAATGTCGACCACTCAGATAATTTGCCGACCACCGTTTGAGCCTCTGTGGGAGAGAGGAGGCCTCTATATCTTCTAGCAGCGTGGAATGGCAGACGGTGTCAAACGCCTTTGACAAGTCCAACGCTACTAGAATCGTTCTCTCACAGAGACGGTTACGGTTAAGGCCACGAGTTATCTGAGTGTTTATGGCGTTAAGTGCTGTTGTTGTACTGTGCACTTTATGGAAACCATGCTGATGCTTCGCTGGGGTCAGGTGGTTTGTGAAGTACGGGAGTAGCAAGGCCTCGAGTGTCTTCGCTACCGGGGAAAGGAGTGTAATCGGACGATACGAATCTCCTTTGTTGGCAGGTTTCCCCGGTTTGAGCAGTGGGACCACTCTCCCCACCTTCCAGATGTCTGGGATGATGAGAGTGGCCATTGACAGGTTGAGGACCTCCGTTAGGTACGCTACCTTCGCAGGACCCAAATTTTTCAGCATCAGCATGCATATTCCGTCGGGACCCATGGCTTTGGAGGCTTTCGCCTTCCCGATGGCCACCCGAACTTCACCGCAAGTGAAAGCAAGGGGGGCACAAGTTGTTGGCAGTTTGTGCAGCCTTCTGGTCACTCGACGCTTGGCTTTGTCCACCGGAGGATGCAGTATGAACTGCCGGCTAAAATAGCTCGCGCATCGCTCCGGGTCCGACGAGGCATGGTCGCCGAAGGAAATTTCGACTCTGTCGTCGTGCTTCGTCGGATTAGACAATGACCTCACGGTTGACCAAAGCTTGCTCACACCAGATTTGAAATTACAAGTCTTCAAATGCTCCTCCCACTTCCCCCGCTTATGTACGTTTACAAGTTGCCGAATCTCCGCGTTGAGATCCCTGATACGGGGATCTCCGGGATCGGCCTGACGAAGGCTATCACGCTCATCGGCTAGAACAGCCGCTTCGGCTGGGAAGTTTGGACGTGGGTCCGATATACATCCTGCCGGTATGAAGCGAGCTGCAGCAGCAGTGACAGCCCTGCGGAACTTACGTTCGCCGAGATGGACGTCGGTTGGTGTGGGGAGCGCTGTGAAGGTGTTTTCGGTAAACTCCGCGTAACCTTTCCAATCAGCTTTGGAAAAGTTGATATAGGTCCGGTGTTTGGCGGAGGCAAAGTCGGTTGGTTTATCTATCGAGATGACTATGGGTAGGTGGTCTGATGCTAGAGTCAGCATAGGTCGCCATGTTATGCTGTTTATCAGACCAGCGCTAACTATTGTGATGTCTGGCGAGCTACTGCAGTTAGCCATAATCCTGGTGGGTGCGTCGTCGTTCATTGTGCAGAATGTCGAATCGTCTATCTGCTCAGCCAAGTCTGTTCCCCTACGATCGTTTGACAGGCTTGAGTGCCAAAGATCGTGGTGCGCATTAAAGTCACTTACTACCATACGGTTTTCACCTCTGAGGAGCGCACCTATATCAGGGTGATATCCTGCCGGGAAGCAGGTGACAGGGGGTATGTATATGTTAAATATTTCGAGCTCGACATCGCCTGACCGGATAGCGATGCCCTGACATTCTAGGGTGGTATCCCTGCGGTCGATGTCTGCTTCGATAAGACGATACTGCACGGTGTGGTGCGTGATGAACGCTAAGCCACCACCATTATCTCGGCCGCGATCTCGACGGTGCACGTTGTACACGGCGCAATTCAACAAAGTTGAATTGCTGTGCAACTTCGTCTCTTGGACCGCAGCTATCAATATACCATGCCGACACATGAAGACGGTTATCTCCTCAATCTTGCTCTGTAGCCCGTTGCAGTTAAATTGAAGGAGCTTCATGTGGTTCGGGAGACGTGTCGTGATGTGGGGTGTAAGTGAAGTGTATGTTCTTGCCGCCGTTGGCTGTGTGTGCTGCTGTGGTGATTGCCGCCCTGTGGTGGTGGCGGGGGGCGTCGCAGTTAGGGTCTGCGACCGAGCAGCGCAACACGGGCCCTCGAAGTTCCCAGTCCAATCTCGCGTGGTACGCAGACCTGAGCGTGCCCTAAAGTGGCACCAGCCAAGGCAGGTGTTGCACTTGACTGATGTCACATTACGGAATATCCTGGTCTGACATACCGTGCAGATTGTAGGGGGAACCAGGAGTTGTTGGCGGCGGCGTGTGGGTGGTGGTGCGGTTGTGTGTGTTATGTGTCTGTGGGGGCTGTGGAACGGTCCGTGGTGTTATTATGTTGTTGTGTTGTGGTGACTGTGTGTGGCTGCTGTGTGAGTGTGTGGGGCTGCTCGGGCGGACTATGGTAAGCCGTGGAGGCTGCTCTGTTTAAGCAACAGGGGGCCACGTACGACGTGGTCCACTGTCTGTGTGTCCGTAGTCCCGAGCAGACCCTGAGGTGACTCCACCCCTCGCAGGCATTACACTTGACTGAGGTGGAGTTGTGGTGTAATCGTCTTCGGCATACACAGCAGGTGTATGTTTCTGGCCCAGGGTTTGACTCGATGCCAGCCCTGAGTAGGAGAATGCGTAGTGAATGTAGCCCTATGGACGGACAACTTCTAAGATACTTCGCCGACCTAAACGGGGTTAGATCGCCGAAACAACAGCCCTTGGTCGGGCGAAACCCGAGTCATTCCGGTACGTAGAACCGGCTGTCGTGGGAATGCTCCATGGTGTAATGAACTGAAGGTGGCGCATTCCCGAAACCGCTACTTTGGTTTTGCCGACTTTGACGTTTATGGCAATACGTAAACAAACTTTTTGTTTATAAACAAGTGCAAACGTATTGCAAACGTATTGTGTATTTTCTAGTGAAAAATCGAAGTAATTCGTGCGTTCTGAAGTAAAAAACATTTTATTTGTAATAAAAACTTTATAAAAATGTCGTGTCGTGTGTTGAATTGCAGCAGCCGTAGGGGTAAAGGCCCTAAATGCAGTTTTTTTTTGTTTCCCCGCGACGACGCCTTGGCCAGAAAGTGGGTAGAGTTCTGCCGGCGGGAGAAGCCATACAATTTAGACACCAGCGTAATATGCATGAAGCACTTTACGGATAAGGATTACATGAGTAACTATCATTTATTTTCATTACTTATATATGTCGATATCTAATAAAAGACTTAGGAACTGCTAGTCGACCATCGCTTCGCCGCGACGCCATGCCAACCATTTTTGAGTGGGAAATAGATCCTGCTCCGGTGTGTGAGTCACAAAATGACAGCGTTGAGGAGATCATTGAGCTACAAAATTGCGAAGGTAGCAAATATTATACTATAAATATTATATTATTAATGTCAGTGGTTTATTAGTTGGTTTAAATGAAGGCGATAAAGTATATCGGCCCAGGGACGGTACTCTTGATGCTTCGACGTCACCTATCCGTAACTGTGTTTACTATGATAGTGATCTACAGGAAGTGGAAGTGTTGAAAGTGGAAGTGTACGTTAATAAGTAACTGATCTTTATGTGTAAATGTAATAATATCTTATATTTCTCTTATTTGAAGTGAGACATTCAAGCGCGAAAATGCACACCTCAAAAAGGAAACCGAAAAGCAGTGCACCGAGCTCGCTACATTGAAGCGGGAGTCCGACCTGCAATTGAAGAGACACGCATGGAAAATGGAGTCACTGCAAAAACGTTTGGATGAAATGGCTGCCCAAATGAAAAATGTGGAAGATGCACTAGCTTCCATCTTCACCAAAGGGCAGATAGCGAAGCTGAAGTCTGGGTCGAAGCGACGAAAATGGGCGGAAGAGGATATTGCGAAGCCTCCGCTTACAAGTAATTCAAAATAATTTTTTATCTATTTCATTCGGCTTAAATATAAAAATATATTTTATTAATAATCGCACATATATATTTCACCATATTTACAGGTATTTTGCTGAAAAACTTAAGCTCTAATGCAGAACTGTGGCCGGTTGAAGAAGCGGAATTCGAGGATTTGGAGCTAGACGGACTCGAGCATTTAGCGGGATATATTTGCCACAAGCTGCAGGATGACATTCCCAGCACGTCGTTCAGGAGCAATGACGACCATTCATTCTCCTGGGCGGATCACCTTAATGAGGGTGGGTTATCCCTACCAAGCTCCTCTATGATGGTCCATATGCGAAGTCTTGAGTCAGTCTTTAAGGCATTGAACGAAGATGGCTTGCTCATTACAAATGATTTTGTAAAAACTCACATTGAGCATGCTGCAACAATTCAATGCGACATTAAAGTAAAAAAATTATTTTTCAGGGCAAGAATGTTCTTCAAAATACGAAAATTAAATAAAGAACTCGTTGAAAATGCCCACAAAAGAAAAAGAAAAGCCAAAAAAACTCTGACCTAGATCGATCCATATGGTACCATTATAGAACCGTAAGTATTGCATAAAATACCAAACATGTGGTATGTTTTGAACTAAAGCGTTTTTAAATTTGTAGAAATTAACCGTTCTTTACTTGCAGCATGAATCAATGTCCGCATTTCACACGCACTGATCTCAGTATTTCAGACTCCTAAAATTAAAATACTTGCATGCTACGTAAGTCCCTAGTTTTAAAATATCATCAAGCGTCTTTTATACAAATATAAACTTATTTATTTGCAGGCAAGTAATATGATTTATACAAAGGCCCTTTTCAGGGCCGCCAATTAATTAACAAAGAGATTAAAATTTTATGCTTAGATAAATACATATATACCAATCAACAAGAGGCCCTTTTCAGGGCCGCAATTAAGTTGACAAAGAGATTAATTTTATATCCTATATATATTTATGTTCTTAACGTATATATGTATGCATGTATCTTTTTAATAATTGTCATTTAAAATGTATATTTTTTTACTTAGATTTAAAAGCAATTACTTGGTTTTACACATCATTTTGCTACGTTATAGTTAAACTTAACTAAGCGGATCAATGAAAATATAATATACTGCAAATATATGTATATAATATACTGCAAAATAAAGACTATAGTAGTAAAAATTTCAAATCGAATAAATGTTTATTAAAACTATACCTCATTGCACTAGCTTCCAAAAACAGAGAAGAAAAATAACTATGACGTACTGAGCTCTGGTTGTTGATGCAAGACTATTTTGCTGAGACTGACGTGACACACACCAATACACCAGGTTGGTTTGCACTAGTTGGTGTCGGCTGGTTTACAGAAAAACTATTAAACTCCAGGTTGATTTTCGGCGCCGATGAAGCAACTGAGCCGAAGATATCATCAAGGTTGACATTTGAACTTGGTTGTACATTAATTTCTAAAATAGAAGTGTAGGTCTCTATTCAGAACTTAGCAAATATTAATTTGGATGGCCGCCTAAAAGTCTAAGACTTTTTTGAATCTACCGAATCCTTACCTAAAATATCAGGTATTGGAGCCGAGCCAATGCCAGATGAATTATCATCCCCGAATGCTCCAAGCAAATCGAAACTAGCGACACTCGTTGTGGCTTGTGGATCTTGCACCGGCAGCTGGGGTTGGGGCTGGTTTAAATTGAGCATGTCTATTGGTGGTGATGGTTGAGGTTGGATTCGAGGTACATCCTCTTGCTTTATTTCGGTAGCATCTGGTAAAATAGGCGTTATCTACGGAAGCAGCTGACCTAACAGGCGTAGGTTTGTTGATCGAACTAGGTTTTGTCACTGTTGTAAGGAAAATAAATAAATAATTGAAATGGGCGGAAATACTATAGGGACTTGCCGAAATTATCCACCATTTCCTCGAATTCTAATTGCGAACTAAATATATGTTGTGCGTTTCTTATGGGCTTTGCTGGTAACCAAGGAGGATTCCTACTCGGCGGAAATTCGTTATCCGTGAAACTCAACGACAGCGAAACCTAAAAGTCATGAGGAACCTGATCGGCATCCGGTAAATCATCGAGATCATTCGAGGAAAATGTTATCAATGTTTCTTGTTCCGGTATGAAGCCCGTGTTGATTTGGAATTGACAAATCTTTAAACTCTGAGGACGTACCATGCCTTTAAGTGCATTCCGCGCATGATAAAGCACCACTTCATTTATGGAAAATATGGAAATTAAGCTGCATCACCACCGGCATGCCTGCCGCGACTTATTTTTTTCCAAACCCTGTAAGCAAAGTTTATATTAATACGACACAAATTTGTTATTACTGCCACGCACTCACCAAATTAAATGATTCCACAAGCACAGTGCATGATTTACAAGGCGGCAACTTAGTTGATTTTTCCTTTTGGTCCTTTGGAGATTTGTCAAAAGCTTCCACAGCTTCACAGTTCTCAAACAGCAACACCAGCCCACATACAATTGAAAGCACCACTTTTAAACACGACATGTTAAGTTGAAAACGTTGAAATACCACAATTTACAAATTAAAATCGGAGGTAAGCAAGCATCGACCACTTTGTGCAGGAAAACATGCGCTGCTACAAGATATTATCACTTTTCCGGCACCTGCAATACAAACACAAAATTCTTTCTATTCTTTTGAACACATTTCAAGAGAGGTTGTATAATTTTTGTTAACGTTGTGCTTAATTTGCTATAAGATGGCTTGAAAAATTGGTGAATTGTGAAGAAAACACGTTTTCTCATTGCAAATTCACAACTGTCAACTCATTGTTCTTCGCCAAATTCTTTGTTTAAGCTGAAATTAGTCAAGAACGTAAACCTACCGGTACGTAAACCCGAGTCAGCTGACACGATCTGTCTTACCAGAGCGCCATGTAAATGAAAACTCAACACCGCAGAATTTTTCTGTAGTTGTAGCCCGTAGCGCAGAAATCTGCGGAATTTAGATTTTTTCGTGTCAGCTGATTTCTTCCTTCTATAGATGGTTGCCACTTCGTCAGTTTCGCAAATGGTAAAAAATGTATAATTTCCTATTCAAAATACGTTTAAAATATTTGAAATTTACTATTGAATAAAGTTGTTTGTTGAAAACTAAGTAGTTTATATTTAGCTACGATCTATTATAGCACGAAAAGTTGTTGAAAAGGTAAGTTTATGAAAACGCATTGATGAGTGGCAACACTGTAGTAAGCAACACTGAGGGCTCCAGTAATCGACAAAATTCTGCGTATACAGACTGCGTTTAAGTATACGTTCTGCGTTCTTGACTAATTTCAGCTTAAATCTGTATGCGAGCGTACAATCGATAGTTTGTTTTCGAAATGGTTAGTCGTTTTTTGCATGGTCGAAAGGATTGACAACACCTTATCGAATTGGTAATTGGAAATTTGTTCCGATAAACACTGATTGTTTATTTAAGTTGATTACACATATCTAACTGTTTGCTTCTGTAAATCCGATTAACGCTTTTTAAACTACAAATCAAAATATAAATGAATAACGAAGAAAAACTTGCTTATTGGCGCAATGCTATCATTGCTTTAGTTCTTAATAATGTGGAAAACAAAATGCCTATAAAAGAGGAAGACATGCGCGAAATTCTGGACAAAGACAAAATGCTATTCAGGCAATGCCTACCACTTGTGATTCAATCCTTAAAAAAAGTAAACAAAATTTAAACAAAGTTCTTAACTTAATTTTACTTAATATTATATCTGCAGGTGTACGGCATCATTTTGCAAAAGGTACCCGACACTAAAAAATACATATGCTATTCCGAACTGAGAGTATCTTCTACGGTAGAGTATGATGAAGAGCAGTGCCGTCATCTAACACTGCTTTTTATTATACTATCATATTTACTAATGAAAGATGCCCGCGTAGATGAAGGTTTGTTTATTCTACATAATTCGTATAATGCTCGCTCGCTGTACAAATAAAGCAAATTAGATTTATCAAAATATTTTACAGAGCAACTGTTTGACTTCCTTAAAGGATTACGCATTAGAATCGACGAAGAGCATCCATATTTCAAGGATAATATAAAGAAGCTCATTGGTGAAACGTTTGTGAAGCAGTTGTACCTGAAACGTGAAAAATCTGATTCTGAGACCGATTTAGAAACCAGGTTTGTTAAATAGGTAGTTAAGATTCTTTTATTTGCCGCTTTTACTTGTAGATTCTTATATTCTTGGGGTTATCGAGCTACTGTCGAATTCCCTGCGAAAGACGTCTTGCAACAAACTGCACAGGTATACTTGAATTGAAGAGGTTAATTACACTGGTTTACAGCAAAAATGTTCAATGGATTCTACTATCCAATTTTTATGTAGAATTGCTCGTTGATTCGGAAAATCGAGTTGATTTCTTTTTCTATGGATACGTTTTCGAGATCTTTGCAATTTACCGTTATTAAGCTTAAAACAAAAATTGTTTCCACTTAATCACGTATATCTTACGAATTTAACAATCTTAAAATGAGATACGACAAATGAATGCTAATGAAATTCTCCATAAACCATATATACATCACTGATGGTTTCTGACAAATTAATTAATTATTCGTTTTTATTTTATTTTTTAATGAAAAAATGGAAAAAAATCTAACTTTAACAGTAAAAATAACAGGGTCTGTGCCAAATCTTTCCATTTGTGCTAAAGCTTGTTCTTTTACAAAAAAATCAAGTTACTAATAAAGAAAATCGTTTGATAGATAAATAAATGAGTGGTCAAATGAAAATACGCAAAGATTTTTTATATGAAAAATGAGCAGGAAAGAGTGTTACTCATACGCCACGTACACCTGATATTGTTAAATTGGTTCGTAGTAGGGCATTCAATCCCGAAGCATTTTAACAATCCCGGGATTTCGGGATGTAAAAATTCTAATCCTGGGATCCCGAGATTTTTCGGGATTTCGGCTTCATAATAACTTCTTGCATTTTACAGTAGGTTCGCCTTTTTCAAACCACACAGATTCATTGTCAACACATTTGGTCTTAGGGGCGCATAATGCTCCTTAGTAAAAGAGTATGTAATTTGATGTTTAAATAATTTTCATTCTAAAATTTCTATATTACTTGTCAAAAACATTTACTCATATTTACAGAAATCCTTTTCCAAAAAAGGCCAACAAAGTAAAATGAACAATTCTGCCACACTGTAAAAGCTTGTGTTTTGAATTGCTACCAGATTTTTCGTTATTACACAGTTCTTGCACAAAATATTTGAACAAGTAAAGTTATTCAGGCAGTTCCTGAAATTCCCTTCCAAGTGCAAATGACTCAAGTTCACTTTGAATCCAAATTTTAGTGTTCTGTATTTCTCGTGTTTCAAGTCAAATAAATTGTTTTTTTCGTTTTCAACATCTCTTTCATTCTGTAAATGAAGCAGTAAAAATCTCGGGATCCCGGAGCTGTAATCCCGGGATTTCGGGACATGGAAAAGTGTCCGGGATCCCGGGATTGAATGCCCTAGTTCGTAGGATATACGTGATTAAGTGGAATCAGTTTTTGTTTTAAGCTGAATAACGGTAAATTGTAAATATCTCGAAAACGTATCCACATAAAAAAAAATTAACTCGATTTTCGGAATCACCGAGTAATTCTACATAGAAATTGTATAGTGGCGCTTGGGGAACAAAAACCAAACTAAAATTTGTGATCCAGTGTTATCAATGGGGAATAAGTTAGCATTTTTCCGATATGGCACATTTTATGCAGTTCAACAGAGCTCTTTAAACGAACAAACTGCTATAGTCTGACCGATTCCGGAATATAAATTCATTCAAGAACAAATGGTTTTGATAAACTTTTATAATAAAAAAAGAAAAACATAAACAAATAACGTTACAAAACAAATAATCATTCAAGAATCTATTCACTTGTTTATGTATATATCGCCTATGCATATATATAATTGCAATAATTTGTTCCATAGTCTTTTTCTTATTCAATATTAAAAAAAAAGTTCATTCGAAATCACATTTCTTAGTTGTACTCATAGTAGTAAACATATGAACTTCTGCTAACTATAAAGGTGTTGTATTGAATGCAATTTGTTAAGAAACATAACCGTAGATTTTTAATGATATAAGTATTTTTGTAACGTAAACAATTTAACAATCCAGTGAAATCCCGAAGGATTTAGGAATTCAGCGATTAATTTCAGGATAATTCTAACAATACTTACAGTAACGACATTTTAACATTCTTTGGTTATTTCGTTTATCTAATGTTTCTTATTTTTTATGAAAGTGTAGCTCGTTATCTAACCAAAACCATGTTAGTGAAAATTTCAAACTTTTTCTTTAAACATTCTGAGTATGCAGTTTTGTAGCCTATTCAATTTTATTTTAGCGAAGTGCAAATTTTAAGTAACTAGAACTTGGTATTGATTTTTGTAAATTTTTTTGTGGAAGGTGTTGCGGCTTTTCTCCATACAAAAAAATTTTCGAACATACTTTGGAAACTTTGGAAGAAAATGCGTGAACAAAATATTTTCAAAAATCAACACTTACCTAGCTAATTAAAAGTTTCAATTTATAATACTAACATTAAAAAACTGCGTACTCAAAAAAATTCAAAAAAATCTGATTAAACAGGTTCAAATTTTGATGAACATTTGTTAAAATTGCGGAAAAAGTAAAAAGAATCGGCTAAAAACGGCCGATGCCGATTCTTTTGGCCGATACTAGCCGATGCCGATGCCGATTAATCGGTCGGACTCTACGAACTGCAGCAAAATTGTCTTATCGAAAAAAATGCCAACTTATTCCTTTTGGTAATTAAGCGATTCAATTGCCTCTTAAAATTAAAATTTAACTTTCCTTTATAATATCTATTTTTTAGATACTGGGAAAAGAGCCTCGAGAATTTGTTGCTGTGTACAATAAATACTGTGCAGAGGAAAATGAGGAAACTATGGTTGTTGACTAAAAGTAAAGGTCATTTTATCAGAAAAGTTTGTGCTATTGTTCGAAATTCGTTATTAACAGGCGTTCAGGAAATTATATGTACATGTGCATAAGTACAAACATATGTATGTTTATACAGAATAAGTTATTTATTTTTATTGAACCCTTTTAGATTTAAAACCATTAAGGTCGGCTTTTTCCGCTCAAGGGAACATCAATATAATTTTTCGTGAATTTTATAATTTATTTATGTAATCTATCAGACACAATTCAATAGTTCAGCAGTAATAAGTTGTTACAAATACAATCAAATAATTTAGTTTGAAAGCAATAGGCGCTTCTCTGCTTACTCGCGCGTATGCCGGTTAACTTAAATTAAAATTTGTATATGAAAGCTTGTACTTCATTAATTTCATTCCTTTCGCCACTCTCTTACTGTTGGCGAATTCATCTACTACTACTACATATCTACATACATACATATCTACTACATATCTACATACATACCTACTACATATCAACTTAAATCAAAGTCAGCAATATTAAAAAATTGAGTTGCATAATGATTTAAATTTATAAATTGGTTCGTTTCCACCATAATTCGTTCTATGTGCTAGAAGATAGAAATTACGACGCCCTCTTAGCGATTCACTTATGATTAGTGTATAGGAAATTTAATAATTTAAATATCCTACATTTTTATAATTACTTATATGCCATTTTTTATGTCTATATCTAGATATGTATGTACAATATTCCAGATGGTAAAACGTGGAGAGCTTCTAAATAAACGCTTTTAGGCAGTATTTTACAGCAAAGCCTTCGAGCTTGTATTAAAATATCTAAGCGCCGTCATTCGAAGTCAGACCATTCCATACAAAATAAACATGAGTAAATAATCGAACATGAAAGTCATATCATTTCAGTAGATTAGAAGTAAGAGCTCCTGGCATTCCCACGACAGTCGGTTCTACGTACGGTACGTACGGTTCAGACCAAGGGCTGTTTTTTCGACGACCTAACACCGTTTAGGTCGGCTAAATCCTTCAAATGTTGATCGACTCTTACCTTCGACAGTCTGCTCTCCTTCTCGGAGCATACTACCGCAATTGTCAACAGAGTACAGAACCGGAACATGGTCCAAGTCGTTGCCCGGCAGCATTTGGGGCAAAGACAAACAGTCTCATTTCGTAAGTTGTAAATTAGGCTAAGGCCCCTGTTATGACCCAGCAAACATTTGGAGTCATAAATGAGTCTTTAAGGAGTCCTGTTTCGGAGCTATTACGCTCATAATGAGCTCATTTAAGAGTCCGATATGAGTGTGTTTCCCTTCCTACGAATGTCGACTTATATGAGCTTAAATTCATACATCAAATGAGCCTCAATATGAGTCATATTGGACTCTTATTGGCCTCATATACGGCTCATTTTGGACTCTTTTAAAACAAGTTTTGGCCTCATATATGACTCTTTTTGAGACCCTTATCGGCCTCATAAATTGCTACATTCGGACTCTTATTTTAGATTGCTCTTTGAGTCTTATTCAACTCACTATATTTGCAAAGGCATTCCGCAAAAAGTCCTTGCAAATAACATACATACATACTTACATGCATATACACATTCCAACATGCATTCAATAGCAGCAGCTGAAGCTAAATTTTGTTCATTTTTTGTTTTCTAATTATTTTCAATTTCTGTATAAACAAGTTTAGATATAAATTTCAAATCTTTATTGTTTTTATATTGGCACAAGGTGCTGGCTCATAACTTGGCTAATCCTAAAAGATTCATATAAGAGTAAAAAATTTTTTGTTTTTGAAACTCATATTTCTTACCTACCTAGGACACCTTTCGGACTCATATATTCTGAACGCTCAGAATATGTTTGCGGGGGAGTTACATTCTATCTTCGTGTGTGGTCGAAAGTGCTGATCGAACGAATTTTCATTTGGTATTATCGCTAGAAGAACATCCACCAAGCTACATGGCTGTCTCCAGATCGAGAAACGAGAAACCAAATCGATCATGTTGTGATAGACGGAAGGCATGCTTCAAGCGTTTTAGACGTACGTACACTCCGAGGGCCAAACATCTACTCGGACCACTATCTTGTTGTAGCCAAGATACGCACCCTCCTCTGTGCAGCAAAAAATGCTGCAATGCAAATGAAAAGCTGCAATCACAACAGACGGCCAATTTATTCGCCACTCGACTCACACACCTGCTCTCTGAGAGCACTCTTCAACAATCCGACATACGCGAGCAGTGGAACCACATTTCCCGATCATTAAGTACCGCCGCCGAAGAAGTAGTTGGATTTCAGCGAGCCCGAAAGAACAACTGGTACGATGAGGAATGTCAAGAAGCCGCAGAGAAAAAGATGCCGCCTACAGGACCACGCTGCGATCGGGCGCAACGCGAGCCATGTGGGACCGTTATAGGGAACTGAAGAAGGAAGCGAGACGTATTTGCCGCAATAAGAAGAGAGAGGCCGAAATACGTGAGTGCGAAGAGCTTGAGATGCTGGCCGACAGGAAGAACGCCCGAAAATTCTACCAGAGGGTTAGGCGACTTACGGAAGGTTTCAAGACCGGGGCGAACTCCTGTAAGAACAACAATGGTGACATAGTGACCGATGTCCAGAATATACTTAAATTGTGGAGCGAACACTTACTTACACAACCTACTGAATGGCAGCAGCGCTGAAAGTAGTGAAGAAGATGAACCCGAGTCCCCAGTTGATGATGATGGAGTAGCTGTCCCACCGCCTGACTATGACGAGGTACGAATAGCGATTACGCGGCTGAAAAACAACATAGCTGCTGGAGCTGACGGCTAGCCAGCCGAGCTATTCAAGTACGGCGGCGAGGAGCTGGTGAGGTGCATGCATCAGCTCATATGCAGAATATGGTCAGATGAACGCATGCTCGACGACTGGAATTTAAGTGTGCTCAGCCCAATCCACAAGAAAGGCGACCCCGCCATACGCACCAACTACCGCGGGATCAGCCTTCTAAGCATAGGTTATAAGGTCTTATCGAGTGTATTGTGCGAAAGACTGAAGCCCACCGTCAACAAGCTGATTGGACCTTATCAGTGTGGCTTTAGGCCTGGAAAATCCACCATAGATCAGATATTCACAATACGCCAAATCTTGGAAAAGACCCGCGAGAATAGGATCGACACACACCATCTGTTTGTCGATTTCAAAGCCGCTTTCGACAGCACGAAGAGAAGTTGCCTTTATGCCGCGATGTGTGAATTTGGTATCCCCGCGAAACTAATACGGCTGTGTAAAATGACGCTGAGCAATACCACCAGCTCCGTCAGAATAGGGAAGGATCTCTCCGAGCCGTTTGATACCAAACGAGGTTTCAGACAAGGGGACTCCCTTTCGTGTGATTTCTTTAATCTTATGTTGGAGAAGATAATAAGAGCCGCAGAACTGAACCGCTCAGGCACAATACTTTATAAGAGCGTACAATTGCTGGCGTATGCCGACGACATCGATATTATCGGTAAAAACAAGGGCTACGTCCGTTATGCCTTCTCGGGATTGGATAGAGAAGCAAAGCGAATGGGTCTGGTGGTGAACGAGGACAAAACGAAGGATCTCCTGTCATCACACAAACAGTCAGAGCATACGCGTCTTGGCACTCACGTCACTGTTGACAGTTACATGTTTGAAAAAGTAGACGACTTCGTTTATTTGGGAACCAGCATTACCACCAATAATAATGTCAGCCTTGAAATCCAACGGAGAATCACTCTTGCCAACAAGTGCTACTTTGGGCTGAGTAGGCAATTGAGAAGTAAAGTCCTCTCTCGTCGTACAAAGATCACACTCTATAAGTCACTCATCATGCCCGTGCTGGTGTATGGCGCGGAGGCATGGACAATGAAAGCTCTTGGAGTTTTCGAGAGAAAGATTCTGCGAATGATTTACGGACCTTTACGCGTTGGTGATGGCGAATATGGCAGCCGATTTAACGATGAGCTGTATGAGCTTTACAACGATATAGACATTGTCGGCAACACTGGCCACTCAAAGGGACATTTTCTATTACAACACAATGGCAACGCCATTCCCTTCTGAAACGATTGTCAACGTCAGCTCTAGTTTTTAGTTTCAAAGAAGCCGCGACAAAAACACCAATTGTAAAACGAAGTCGAACGAAGTCTAAGAACGAAAACTGAAATTTGTCTGCTTTATATTTCTGGCCGCGAGCCATAGTTTGGAATTTAAATATACAACTTAAAATTAACTCGCTTGTTTCGTCTTTCTGACAGAAATAGTGCAGCGAATTAAAATTCAGCGGCTCCGCTGGCTTGCCCATGTCGTTCGAATGAACAGAACCGCTCCTGCTCTGAAAATATTCAACGCGGGCCGCGATGCTGGTAACAGAGGAAGAGGAAGGCCTCCTCAGCGTTGGAAAGACCAGGTGGAAAAGGACTTGGCTTCACTTGGCATTTCCAATTGGCGTCAGTTAGCACAGAAGAGAAATGAATGGTGTGCTGTTTTGGACTCGGCCAAAATCGCTTAGGCGGTTACAGCGCCAATAAAGAAGAATATTATCGCTAGTTCAAATTGTTCACAATGCTCAACAGCTCAGTAACTGTTGCGATTTTACCTTCTGAACGCGTTGTTGTGTACTGATCAACTGAACAGTTGCGTGTTAGATGATCGTAATATTTTTCTGATCATTTCAGACAACATGTTGGTGTGTACGGGTGAATTCCAAAACGTCAAAATACAAAGCATCAGTCTCTTTTATTTCTAGACCTCAGTAGATTTTAATGCCAAATGTGCGCAACCACGGTTAGATGCTAGTTTTCTACTAGGTTGCGCAAGTTAGGCTTTTTCTTCTAGTGTGGTTTAGAAATAAAAGAGACTGATGCTTTGTATTTTGACGTTTTGGAACGCACCCTACTTTTGAGAGCTGAATTTGACAGTTAATGCATCAAGCCGTTCAGAAGACGCATAACGATCACTGATTTTAGCAACGGTTGCGCTCAACTGCTGCGCCTTCTGAACCTACCCAATAGTATATTTTTCACCGTTGAGAAGCTTTGTTTACAAATCGAGCAAACTAAATAGTGGTCTTATACATAGAGTTGTGTAGAAAATGAAGTTGCAAGATTTTACCCGAACTCTTTCTTCTGGTAAAATCATGAAAAGTGTCAAGCGATCACTGGTTGACGTTTTTACAGGAAAAATTATTATCTAGTTCCCGTACTTTTTGAAGTGAAACTTCTTTAGCGGCGGTTGGTTGGTTGGGAGTAAATTGGCAAATTCGACGGAAATTGCACACGGAAATGGTGCAACGGAAATGGTGCAACCGAAATGGTGCAACGGAAATGGTTGGGGCTGAAACAAGTGCTTATTGTGTGTATGCATATGGTATTAATTTAACAAAAATTTGCTAATAAAAGGTTAAAGAATAGAAAAGGACCAATACAAGAATGAAAGTAAAGGTGACTACGCACATAAACAAAGAAAAGGATAAAGGCAAAAGTAAAAATAAAAACAAAAACAAAGGCGCTTAAAGATAAAGACAAAAATGAAGACCAAGGTAATTTTAAACACTTTACTGATATATATAAGGGCAAAGGTGAAGGGGAATATGTAGATGAAGAAAATGATAAACATAAAAGTAAAGACAAAGAGGAGGATGAGGATACCGATAAAAGTAAAAATGAAGATAGGGGAAGAAAGATTAAAATAAAGGTAACTTAAGAGGAAAGGATATAGAGAGAGACACACAGACTCAATCTGGGAACCATTTTGGGATTTTAGAGATTTTCGGTATTCTCGGGACTTATTGATAAAATAATCGATGTTTTTATCGGTTTTGTTATCGATATTCATCGATTGTTTATCGATTTCTTTATCGAAATTTT